ATACCCAATTATCAAAGACTTCTGTTTCACTACTAAATTGCTTTTCTAAAATATGAATATGTACGCATATTGAAAGATCTAGAAAGAAACTTGATTCTATCATCTTAACTAACAACAAAAATCACAGAAAATCTATTTTTTACGGTAACAGAAAAGACTCTACACATCAGCTTACTCATTAGCTACTCTAAAGTTATTCAGTAAATTTTTGTTTATGTAGAGCGCAATATTAAAACCAGTTGGGAACACATTAATTTTAATTTTATTTTTATATAAAGTTTCGTTTCAGACAGTAAAGACCCGATTCTCAACTTTATTAATCTCTTACTGAAATTTTCAAGATCAATAGGCTTCAATAGAACAGATTCGAACTAGCATGATAAACACTTACATCATATACTTTTGTAAAAACATGATGTAAAAATAGAAAAAAATCGCTTCTATCGATCAGTAACGAATCTTAAATGGAAAAAAAGATTCACAGCTAACCGTTACTGTTTGCAATACTGCAAGATATGAATTTGTTTTGATTGCACGTTTTTTAAAGCGTATTTTGATCGATTTGATGAAGTAAAGTTGTTTCAACTGCAAGCAGCCAATGATGAATTCTTCGTACCGGATGGCGAGGTAATTTCAATGTGATTTGAAGTGGCATATGTATAATTTCGTAGGAGTATTTCTGGAACGATCTACAAGTGAAAACTGGTGGTTCGTATCTTCGGTAATAAGAGAATAGTTCTGACGAAATTACATAATTAAAAAGAATCATATTGTTAGACGCATTCCAAATACCGGACATCACATAGAGAGATATGAAGAAAGTCTTCAAAGTTTTTGTCTAAATGTTGCTGATGTAAGTCAATATTGTGTTGAGTATTGACAACTATTGACTATTAGAAAATCTAGAAACAAATTCTGCCATCATTTAAATGGACACGTACCATTAATGACCAGTCATGGACAGATTCGTGCAATCGTCGATTTTAGTATTGGACAACCGAAACCAATAAATGTCACAGTTTATCAAGCTCGTACAGTTACTGGCACAAAGTAGTATACATTATATGCGTATAAGCGACGTCAATGGATTGAAGCTTTCTTTTACTAGACGTGATTTTCGACAATTAAAACTAAACCCTAAAACAGACCAGATAGTGCTGAATCTTGCTATTTGGTCGAGGATGCCCGTCACAATTGAGGTAGCCAAAATACATGCTATCGTTGGTATGTGATTGCGTTTTCTCTTGCAGGCACAGAATAGTACTTCAATTACTTTCTCATACACTGCTCCAATGCCACCAAGTGGTTATTGGAATGGCATGTCCATACAAATAAAATTTCCCGGACCTGAAAATACAACATTATATTTGACTACAGAAACACTCATTCTGCCTAACACATTTCCAGCAGATCCATGCACTGGTGATGATTGCTACGGAACATTGGTCTAATAGATCCATACGGCAAATTTCATATGCACTCTTCTTGAAAATAAAAGATGGTATTAGAATTATGTTTAGAATTTTTTTCTTTTCATTGTAAGATATCAGGATATGAGTTTGAGTGTAATCTTCTCTTCTCTCGTGACGATGAATACAATTCATAGATAAAGCACACACAACACTATGGCCTTCTTGATGCCTACAGCTACGCACACATTATTCTTTCGAATTCACGCAACCAATATTATTCTCTTATTAGGAATGAATCCGAAGAATTGAAAATTTATTCAAATTGCTTGGTGTGGATGTGGGTCAGAGTTGGAACCGGTCCGGTGCCGGACAGGACCGGTTGAGTCAGTTAGACCAGCCGGTTTTTACCGGTTTTTGCCAGTTTCAGAAAATTATGCATTTTAATTAATTTTTCATTAGTAAAGCACAATGGGAGTCTACTTAGTACATATTTTAAAAGAAAGAAGGAGCGATAATTTCATTTTGGAATTTAAATTCACGTTCTCTATTCTTTAAATTTCTTTTCAAATAAAAATGTTATTATTTACTGTTTAAAATATATTAAAAATACGAACGTTGTCACGTATTAATCGTTTATTTGCTTTTATCCTTTCTCTTTGATATTAATCCTGTTTCAAATGCTCCGCGAATTTTATATATAATAAAATGATTTTTTTAATCTTATATTTATCTTGACTGTTTACTTTCACGTAAAAGCACATTTTTCTAGTGTAAATTTTGAACGAAATAATAAAAGAAATGAAAATTAAATATCGACTTTTGTGAGAAGGAACTTGATCTCGTGCGAAGAAAAGTCAGTCTTGAAATGTTTGGTTTCCTTTTTGATATCCAGGATCCTAATATTAGCATTCCTGAAAATACAAACGTAAACACCTGTATACATTTGCTAGTATGTTCTTCACTTGTTCAGTAAAACTGATCAATAAACACTTTTATTATGTTTATATTAATCTATATAAAACAACTTTTTTTTGTTTAAGTTTTTAAAAACTCTCCAGATGAATTCTCTATGTAAAGTGCATACTGCAAACGTATTTGTTTAATTAAAGGAGCACAAGTAGGTAAGCTTTTTCAGCCTATTCATTAACAACACATATCGTTTCGTTTATATGATTTTAGAAATCATGAGAGTCAATCGATAACAATTACAATGAATTAATATATAAAGGAAGGGTTAACATCCACATCCACACCCACACCAACACCCGCTCCCGCACCCAATGTAATAAGTTTTCAATTGAAAATTAAATAGTGTTAAATTTTCGACCATTACAAGGCCGTTTTCGTAACATGATGATGGATTTTGTAATGTTGTTGTACGATGTTGTATAACATGAATAATAAAAATAATAACATATTTAATGTATTTAATACGACCAGGACTGATTGTACCACCTATAACAGCTATATAACAGTCATTAACACTTGTACCACCTATCTAGCAGTTGACAAGACGTGGACCACTTATAGAGTAATTAACAAAAGTTTTACCACTTTTAATATATTTTCGATTTCTGTACCTCTAAATAGAGAAAATATGCACCATGTAAATATTTGGTATAATTCATACGTACAATCAGTTATAATGAGAAAGCTGGCATTTTTGTAAAGATAATAATTGTTGTTGAACGGGCACAACGTTTTGATATTTTCTGTGGACGAAGAGAATGAACTGGAGTTGATTGACAATGAATGTTATTTAATTCATTATTTTTCTGTCCTGTATCACTTTTATATTGATTGAAATGATATACTGTAATGAGAGAAAAGGTGAATTATTTGAATTTTTCGTTTGGGTAATTCTTAGTGTTGGTGATGAAAATATTGTTTTTCGACTACGATAAATGTTAGTATAAGTGAAGCAATAATAAATATGTTGAAATAATCGACAATTGATTTTTTATGTTGATTATATGAAGGTGTTTTTGTTTGAGTTTGAATCATTTGATGAATCACATGCTGGTGTCAAATGTAAGTAGATTGATTATGTATCGAATCTATTTTGAGAACCTGTTTAATAGATGATTTGTTTTTCTATGTATTATATGCAAATAAATGTTTTAGAAGGTATTTTACCATCAGCAAAAAATGCAGCATGGCTACCAGAGAGAGCACCAGTGGCTTGTAGAATACGATGTTGGGATGTTAATGTAGTAGAAATCTAGAAATAGAAAGGTTTATATTGGTTTGTTGAATTGGGAATGGTAGATATTTTAGAGTTGGATTGTTTATCGTCTCGCAATTTTTTAACCCATACTACATAATATATATTGTAGGATTTTCATGAACTATGTAGTTGATGTATGACTCTATTTGGTTAAAATGCTTTGCCTTTGCGTAATTTTCATGGTATTCGGAATATGTTTTAACTTATGAGATTTGCTTTATTGTATTCAATTGTTGTCCAAGGTTATTTCTATATGTGAAGTATTTTTCTCATGTTTTTATTCTCTAGGGTTCGTACTGTATGTCGTTGTTTTTTCGATCTCGATTTATGGCGTAATTTGTCTGGTAGAAGGTATTGTGCATATCAATATTTTGTGCATATTGCGTTATGCACTTAATTGTTTTTTTTATTATGCAGTAATATATAGTAGAATCGAATAGTAGCTGTGCTTCTTCTGTTCGTTCTCGTCGGGTATTCTCTAATTAAATTTTTTTTATTCTATTGTATTTTCTTTCTCGTCTGTCTTTTTTCCCTTCCTGTTGTATTAGTGATTGTGCTGTTTTATATTTACTATTATCTTTGCCTTTGGAGAACGACACTATTCGGTCATGATATTATTGTGATGGAATATGTTATTCGTTCGTCTCTTCTGGTATGTGGTTTTGTTATTCGTAGTAAAATAGTTTCTTTTTATTAAAAATTGGTTGTTTGAATCAGTAGGAGCATGTTGTTTCTGTTGATGATGTTAGGCTGCTGTCTTATCTAATAGCGCAGTAGAGTTCGGTTCAGTATAGAATTTTTTTATAAAGACAGGTTTTTTCAAAGGTTTTCATATATAACAGTCAAGAGTACTTACATGTTTTAAGCTTGAAATCAAAATTATTTCATCTCTTAATTTTCGAATTAAAATAATACAAGACGATGAATAGTTGAATTAAATGTTTTTGATTTATTAGTTTTGATTATGATCGACTTTACTAGAAATTTGAAAATTACTTAGGGGTACCCAAAAGTAGTGGCGGAGGTATCTTATTTTCTTATAAAAGACTTGAGTAAATTTTCTTTTTCTATAGGATGATAGAGAAAATGAAGCTCTATTTTTCTATGCTATTTCATCTGTATTTATCTAGTGTTATGATAATGAAATTCTGACAACAACTAATTTTGTGTAAAATATAACCCTAATGTTGAATCATATTTTTATCCATGTGCATTTTTGTTTTTGATTTTTTCTTTGTTCTTCTCTTATCTTTCTTTTCTCGTCTCTTCTTATGCCTAGTTCTTTATAAATATGGCACGTGTAGTTTATCACAGGCAATAGTAGTACAATAAAAAAAATTTCAGAGAAGTTCAACAACTTTTTATTTCATTAAATGTTCAAAATATTCTCCGTTATTGTCCACACATAGTTGCATCCTTTCAACCCATTTATCGAAAGTTTTTCTGTACTCTTCTGGATCTAACGAGTACATAAATGTAGTTATAGCATCATTCAATGATTCGGCATCGTCCTGATCACCTATATTTTGTTTGACGAAATCGAATAACCAAAAGTCACATGGAGCAAGATCTGGCGAATTAGGTGGATGTGGTACTATTGTGATATCTTCTGATTCAAGATAATCGCAAACAGCTTTGTGAACATGAGGTTTTCCATTGTCGTGGAGGAGTTTAATACCACATGTGCCGAATGATGGTCTTCGGCGCTTGATTTCATTGACGACTGGTTGTAAACAATTGTCAAAGTAATACCGATGATCAACCGTTTGTCCACGTGCAATACGATGAATAATAACGGGACCATTTGACTTAAAAAATATGGAAAACAAAGTTCTTGGAGCGAATTTACTAAGTCGGACTACTGTAGGTGGAGGATCTCCTTTTGTCACCCAAGCAGCATTCGCTGACTTTCGACCAATTTGCTTATGATAAAACCACGACTCGTCTCCAGTCACCACATCACATAAGCGCCATATTCTTTTTTCGAATTTTTCTAAGTTTTCTTTGCATATGCGAACGCGTTCAGCTCGTTGAAAATCGGTCAAATGCTTAGGTATATAACAAGCAGTCATTTTTCTAAGCTGTAAATGGTCGCTGATAATTCTTTGAGTGGTGCTATAACTTAAACCAGTTTGTTCCTGCAATTCTTCAATTGTACTATAAGGATCATCATCGATAAGACGACGGATTTGTTCAATATTTTCAGTCGTTGTTTCAGTAACTGGTCTGCCAGGTCGTGCTTCATCTTCAACTTCTTCGCGACCTTCACGAAACCATTTAGCCCATCTCTCAACTGTTCTAAGAGGAGGAGCTTCGTCAGCAAAGACAGAATGTAATTCTTCATAAATAACCCTTGCTTGGACATTAAGTGCAGTACGCACTTTAATATAAAAACGGAAATTTTCTTTACTCATTTGAAAGAGAAACAAACAGGACGGGTATCTTAGTATATATTTATACATATATCTATGTTATGTATGAGGCATTAGGCATAAGAAGAGACGGGAAAAGAAAGAAGAAAAGAAAGAGAAGAGAAGAACAAAGAAAAAATCAAAAACAAAAATGCACATAGATAAAAATATGATTCAACATTAGGGTTATATTTTACACAAAATTAGTTGTTGTCAGAATTTCATTATCATAACACTAGATAAATACAGATGAAATAGCATAGAAAAATAGAGCTTCATTTTCTCTATCATCCTATAGAAAAAGAAAAT